CCCCCACTCACGATAGTGGAGGCCTGAAGTATCTGAAAAGTATGCTGGATCTGACTGACAGACTGGTAACCAACCAACACGTTCCCAGGCCCTGAGCAGAGCAGCAAACAGCCTGCTGCCTGGCGTGCAATAATGTCGATTAAAAAGCTTTGTTATCAGTCTACTGCACTGTACTAACTCTAAAAGAATTTAAAAACAAAATTTCCCCTAAATCTATAAACAGTAATTTGAAAAATAAGAAAAATAAAGATGCTTTCTAAATCTGCCACCAAGATGTAATTATTGTTAATATTTGGGTGTATCGTCTTTTAGTTGTGTGTGTGTATGTATACACATTACATATAGATTTAAAAACACCAATGTGTCTATTGTTAAATTTGTTAACAATACATTTTATTAAATTATGTGCGCAAACATACCTTATCTGCCCCATTCAGCACTAAATTCTACATAGACAAGGGCTTTAATTTTTTCATATGAACTCTACCTCCTACAACACTGCTAGGCACCCTGCAGGCACTCAAAACACATTTGTTAATTCTTTTTTATGAGTAGCAATGCTCCAATGTTTTTAAGCAGAATTAACTCTTAAAGGGAAGAAATCCTATTTTAAAAATCTCTAGAGTCATTCCATTTTCCTAACTCACATAATTTTTTTTAAACGTACAACTTTTGGAGTCTCCATCCTATTATCTTTCCAATCAAACTTTGATATGCTTGTGCTTCACGAGATATGATGGAGAAAACCATTCACTTACCACGCTTGGCTTTCAATCCACTGGGATAAATAATGGCGCACCTCAATGGGGAAATGCTGGCCATACAATGCTTGCATCTGGTGAAGGGCATCTCCCTGCAGCTGCTGGGCTTGGATCCACACAGCCATGTTTATAATCTGCTAAACAAACAGTCAGTGGTTTGGGTGGGTTTCCGCCCCCCCCGCCTTTAAATCCACTAGAGTTAATATTCACATAATTATAAAAGCTAAAGATAAATGCTTTTAAGTCTTTTTGGAGTGACTGAAGATCAGTATTCTGGAACTGAATTTTAGCTTTGGAATGTTTTCAGAATGTAGATGTTCAGTGTGGCCATGGAAAGCTTTATAACTGGGTCTGTGAAGCTCCAACTATAAAATGTACTGGATTCCTATAAGCCAAAGGGCAAAACCAACATTAGGAGAACTGCCTATAGCATCACAGACTTTTCTTGAAGCAACAGTAAGTAGCATTTCAACAAAAATGATAAATAATTAGCACGGGGATTTTTTTTTTATCACTTGTTTTAGATTTGGTATTTTGACTTTTAAGAAATACAGTAAACATACTACCATTCTGAAAATGACCCAGTAAAAGAAAAGTGAAAATATTTAAAGCATGGGTCGAGTCTTATGTATTACCACTAGTAGGGCACAGATTTATTTGGAAAAATACCCCAAGGTTCATCTTCTAAGTTATTGCTAAGGAATTTATGAAGCGATGTTGTGTTAAATTATAGCCTTTAAAACAATACATCCCACCTCAGTCAGAAACAAATACCATTATATTCCAATAGTGGGTAGGTTTTTAAAATAAGCTCTGAAAAATGATTTTATAAAACTACCAAGATGCCTTCTCTGACTCACCTGAGAATTTTCAATTCATTTGGCAGAAACTCTCTGGGCTTAACCAGATTGTGGCAGCAACGTTACTTTCATCTACGCACAAGGGACTAAACCAAACCTTGCCCTAACACTCTGACCCACAATGTAGAATTTGGTGTAAGGCAGGGCTCTCCTGGATCCCATCCATAACGATTTGGCTACTGATTTGCACAGTTCTCCCAAGAGCTATGCTACAGTTAGGATCCAGTGAATTAGACCTTGATTTTGTTGAACACCAGGGACTACACGTGTGTTAGGAAACAAAACTCCCGTCTCAGTTAGTTGTTGTCCGATCACGTAACACTGAGCTATTTATGGGATGAGTCAGTTAGCCAACAATGAGGTGTGGGGTAAGTGCCAGTTACCTATTTTAGACTTGTGCAATGCTATAGAACACTTGAGAGGTGTATAGTTTTATTTAGGGCTTTCAGGCATTAAGACTGGGTTAACTGTAAGATCACCCGAGATATCAAATTTCAATGGCTGCGAGTTTACTAGGAGAAAGACTGGGATCAAAGAGCTCTCTCCAGAAACAATTCCACGTTATAATCAAACATCTGGAACACATTTAATTATACGATGTAATTTTTAATCAAATAAATCAAATCCCAAGACTTTGGAAACTTGGAACAGATACTAAAGCATGTTTTTTTGGATAAAAGGTAAAGGAATGGATAGATGAACAGATGGATGAAGGTGCTTAGGCATTTATGTGTATGGTAGAACAAAAAAGGAATGAAAAAAAGAATGCAGGTATTAAAAATAACGTCTCTTTTAGTGGTAAAGAATTTGTAAGGAATAGCGCTTAATGAATGTTTGAGTAATACCAACAGGCAGCAAAGTTATCCTGCATCCTGCATTCGTTAACTGAATTGACCCAAGAGACGAAAGAAGGAACATTGTGGGAAAACTTTTCTCCCCTCAGAGACTCCTTCACAATTTACCCAAATAAAATAGCAGTCTGGTCACTATTCTCAGTCTGCTTTAGTTTTCTTCATATCATTTATCACTTCCTGACATTTCATCACATATTTGTTTACTGTCCTCTCAGGAGGATGAAATCACCATGAACATAATGACTTTGTTTTTGTTCACTGTTCCTTCTCTTGGGCCTAGAACAGTGCCTGGCGCATAAGCAGTCAGTAAAATTTGTTGTTGTTGCATAAATAAATGTGTACACACAGTTTAGTCAAATCTATCAGCTCTTTTCAAGTTATTATGGAACAAGGTATCAGGATGAAATACCAAGGTAATTCATTGAAACAGATTTTATCATTTGGATGATTTCATAATTTGGATGAGAGTATATTTACGATGGTCTATTTGTCCCTTCATAACATATACCACAATTTGTAATTTTTTCTATTAGTTTTTCTTGATTTGTTTTTGTCTATCTTCTGAACTCTCAACAGGAAGTGAAGGGAACATATTTATTCACTACTGTGTTCCCAGTGCCTTGTACAGTGGCTTGCCATGGTAAGTAGTCAATAAACATTTGTTGAGTGATTAAATACATACCAAATATTTGGTAAATATTTCACATGTCCTGCTGGCTGAGCATATTACAGTAGCCTATTATTGTTTTAAGGAAGACTACAGTGATATGTCATCTATGTGGGGGTACTATACAAACATCACACTATTTTATTTTGTCTTACGTTTTACATTAATTCTTAATTTTTATCGAAGAATGGAATGCTGAGCTCTTAGAATTTGTCAGAGTATTTTTATAGCTCTAAATATGAACATATAATTATTTTCTAAAATGCCATTTGAAGAATAGCCGGCAAATATAAGGTAGCGACCACCTTATTTTGATAAATACAATATGCTTTAATTCTACTACACTGAAATGCTTTGATGTAAGTAGAAAACAGATTTTGCCTACTACTAGTCAAAAATGTGAAATAAAAATACACTAAATAATACAGAATCATTTTTATTTTGCTTTTTAACTAAGAATTACGAATGCATGGAATATGAGAGGACTTATTGAGATTATCATGTAACAATTTAAATATGTGATTTAGGAAAAAAAAAACACTCTCCTCAATCATATCAATAAAATTTAGACTCTAAGTGCTTTTCTTCATATGATAAAACTCTTCATGCCCATTATTAGGCTATGCCTGTACCTTCTATAAGCTGATTCCTTACCCTTTCTCACCAGTCTTTATCCTGTCACCAAAAAGTATTCCAAATTTGCAGTGACTGCACCTCTGTCCTCAATATATGCTCTCTTCTGCTTATTTATAGGCAGTTCCATCTTCAATGCGTGATGTTCTGACAAGGGAAATGGTTTGTATCTTTGGTAAACCATCACGGGGACTTCTCTAAAGACTGGAAAATGGATTTGCAATCTTATTTTTAGCCAAAAATGAGAACTAGTTGAGCATGCTTAGTTGAGCATAGTATTCATAAGCATTCCAAACAACCCAAATAGCCTGAAATGCAGAATATTGTACTTTCTGAAAGGATAAGGTGTCTACATTGACCTTATCTATCTGGATGTGTCTTAGGAGTCCCGAATAAAGCAGACCCTCGGGCACTTCGAAATCTTTGAAAGGGTTTCAAAGTGTAATAAATAGCTCATAATGTTGTAAGCATATTGAAAACCACACACACAAAAATAAATGTTCACTAACATAAATAAATGATATCAGTGGGTGGGATTTAGGAGGAATTTTGTCTCAATAATAAATACCTCTTTATTAGGTGCTTTCCCTTTTAAAAGTAAAATATAAACCTTTGTAAAGAAACACATCACTCCCTCTGAAGACTTCTGAAACATTTTGGCCAGGGTCATGCCATAGCCAAACTGTGGTTGGTGGGGAAGTACATGACAGAAGGCTCCCAATGCAAATGGGCCAACTGAGTGAATGAATTCTAGCTTGGGGCGGGGCGGGGGAAGTGAAAACGTATGCAGGGATTTATTTGGATTCATGTGTACAATGTTAAGCATTTTATAATTCTTATCCTCCATCCCACCACCACCACGCCATCCCATCCCATGCTAGGGCCAGAGAGTCTAAAATGGGGTTAAAGTTCTGAAGATAACGGCAAACTCATCTAAATAGTTATTCAAGATCTAATCTCTTAAACCATTCTGTGCTTCAGCTTCTTTATTTTGTCAAATGAGAATAATGACACTTAAACATCGCTCAGGGGGTTGTTGTAAGAATGCGTTAATTAATATGTGTAAATGTTTAAGACAGTGCCTGGCTCATAGTAAGTGGTCGATATTATTCTGATTTTTACAACGTTAAACTTACAAAGGTGGCTTCCTTCTCCCCATCTCCAGTTTTAACTTACTTCAACAGACTATACCTTTCCAAAGTCAATCCTCCACAAAGAGCTCTTTGCTCACCTTTCTCCTTAACCAATATCCTGCGGTACAAACTTTACCTTCCTTTTAAAAGATGGTACAGTCTTCTCATTTTTTAATCCATTTCGCTGACACAAAGGATGGATGAGAACGGGTGGGGAGTGGTGACAAGGCACCGGGAGGATGTTCTCACCTCACATCTGAATGAGAGAACTGAGAATTGTGAGGGGTGGTATAACGAGAGCCAGACTGCCACAGGTACAGTATGTCTTCCCTTAACGTCAGTGGGTTCTACGACTTTAAGTGAAATGATGTATAATGAAACCAATTTAACTATAGGCTAATTGATATAAAAAAGAGTTATTAAGTTCTTATGGCATCTCATCAATATTATAATGAAACAACAGTGAATGAAATGACCTGCTGTATACGAGACTCAAGGGAAAAAAAAAGAATCTTATTCCTCCCAAGGACACATCTGACCCCTACTAATTAAAATATAAATTAGTAGCAACAAATATTTTGATTCATCTAATAAATAATAATAATTTTGGAAATAAGATTGAAAAATGAATTAAAATAACATTTATTAGTGTTATTATCCACCATCCAGATTTATCATTTACTGTCATTTACTGAACACTTAGCTATAATATTTATTACAATAAGTGCTTTTATGAATCTACTCCTTAAATCCTCACAAAACTGTAGGAGGTAGGCACTATTATTATCCCCAGTTTATAGATGAGGAAACTGAGGCTCAGCAAATTAAATAGGGTTGTAAAATGGTGTAAGAACTTTGGAAAACAATCTGGCAGTTCTTCAAAAGCTTAAACATGGAATTACAATACAACCCAGCAGTTCCACTCCTTGGTACATGCCTGAGAACTGAAAACATATTTCTACAAAAACTTGTATACAAAAGTCCATAGCAGCATTATTCATAACAGCCAAAAAAATAGAAACAACCCAAATGTCCATTGATGGATGAACAAATAATATGGATGTAAATGGAAAAATGGGTAAAATGGAATATTATTCAGACATAAAAAGACATAAAGTAGTGACACATGCCACAACATGGATGAACCTTGAAAACATTATGCTAAGTGAAAGAGGCCAGACACAAAAGGCCACACATACTCTAAATTCCATTTATATGAAATGTCCAGAATAAGCAAACCTCTAGAGGCAAAGTAGATTGACTGGTGGTTGCCAAGGGCTGGAGTAGTTGGAAGTGACTTTTAATGCGATGGGTTTCTTTTTGGGGTGAAATACTTGCCCCAGGTCCCACACTACTGAGGGGCACCATCCGGGCTGGGTCTGGGCAGTGAGTAACATGCTCCCTTTGTCTTGAGGACTTTTGGTGGTTGATTATATGGTTTTCTGTACTTTTTTGTACGTTTGCTATATTTCATAATTTAAAGAAAGAAAAAGGCTAAGAAATTAGAGTAAGAAACCTAACACTGCAAGGCTCTGATTTAGGCAAAGGCTTGGTCTAGCTCCGGATCTGAAAAGTATAAGGCAAGGAACCAGGATTCGAAACTGTTAACCATATCAGCACCATTTAATGACTACGGGACTTTGGATAAAATATAAAGAGCAAGTTCCCTAGTTGTGTCAGTGGCGACACTAGTACATGTATTTGGTGGTGGTAGTTATCTAGTAGTAGGAACTTGGCAGAACAGAAAAATTAAATAGTAGTAATAAAGGATTAAGACTTTGTTCATATTAAAATTGGCCTAATATCAAGATAGAAGGTTAGAGTAAAACTTTCCCATCTAGAAGTAGGTCAATATCGGAGCCAGCTGCTCTTAAAAAAATTTCTAAATTCTACTTTGTAAGTAATCAGGAAGGCAATTCTCTAACGAAATCAGATTATTAAACAGATGGAAAGAGAACAGAAAGAATAAAAGTATTTGGCTTATAAACAAACAAGGAAAAATTTGCCCAGGCAACATCGAGATGATAATATTCTGGGAAAACAATCAGTCATAAATCTTTACATCACAGCCAAATCATTACATATTATTTAGAGAAGAAGAGAAAGCAAGTGAAGGAGGGAGAAGGGAAGGAAAGGTAGAGAGGAGGGAAGGGAGGGAAGGAAGAAGGAGGGGAACTATTTGCTAAATATAAAGGTCAAGTCTTAATCAGTGGGTTATCATATATTTAAAATTCTCACCTAAATATATCTTGGCCAAAAACACGCAATCTCAAAAATAAAGAGAGTAGACTCAGAAAGATCATCGTAGCTGCTAAAACCATTAAGTGATACTTGTTGGGAACAGGATATTCACACAGTGTCAAAGTAGTACCGCGTATGTTGCTATTATTCGCAAAAGGAAAAAAGTACATTTTCAGTGGAAAAAGCTGGCAAACGACACCTTAACCAAGTAATCAAACATCCCTAATCATGGGACAAACGGACATTTTATGTCTCCAGATGTGATACACTGAAAAGAACGTTAGACAAACTAAATGTTTTACCTCTACTCATGAAGAAACAATTAGACAAATCTAAACTGTGAGACTCTTATGAAAAACAGAAAACTGTGGAACTGTTCTAAGTTAAAGGAAATTAAAAGGACATGATAACTACCCACATCATAAATTAAAAAAAAAAAACAAAAAACCCTACAGCTCTAAAACACTACTAGGACAATTAAATATTAAAAATTTTTAATTTAAATGTCGACTATATCTTGGGTATTATTGTATCAATATTAAATTTCTTAAGAATGATGATGGCATTGAAGTTACATAGAATGACTTTGTTCCTGGTAAATACATACTCAAGTATTTAAGGGTAAAGTCATGATGTCTGATACCTATTTTCAAAGGAGAGAAGGAGGAGGTGTTACCTAAATGTAGTAACTGTGAACAATTGATCTACCTAGGCAAAGTGTATGTGAGTGTTCATTGTTCTATTCTTTCAACTTTTCAGTAATTAAAAAAAATTTTTTAATCAAAATTAAGGGCAAAAATTCCAAATAAAGAAGAAAAAAAGTACTGAAAGTAGAAGTTTGACTCTCATCTTGAAATTGTCCCTGGCAGTACATAAAAATCTGGACTTCTCAGATTCTGTGCTACAGCTGGTAAGATGCTGTCATACAAGACAGGCTCCCTCCTGCCACATGGGCCTGCAGCTTGAATGCATGTGCATTATCACTCTTTCTGTGTCGAAATCCATTTAGCAACTTGAACAACCCATTTAGGAAGAAGCTACATCACTACCACTTCCCAGATAAGAAAAACATTTGCTGTAGCCCATAATGGCCATCTGCATTATGCAAAAGTAAGAAATGATTTGAGGCTGTCATGTAGACCTATGTCAGCCTCAGAATTTCTAATGAAGGTTACTCTCTACCCATTTTATACCATTAATCAAGAGCAACTAACTCATCTTAGAATATGTTTCTTGTACAGTGTAAATCCTTTAGTTCAGGAAATAAAAATTCCTCAGCCACTAAAATATACTGAGTTTCCATACCATTTAGATGAAAGAGAATTTCTCTCTTGTTCTTAAGTTTTTTCCTTTAAAAAATAAAGGCAATTTATTAATGAATCAACACACATTCCTAACATTTTCCCCATTAAAGATCACAACCTTCCTCTTAATTGAGAATTATAGTATTAAGTTTCCATCTAGCAAAATTAATTTTGAAGGGCACTTTGCACTAGGTTAACTCCCAGGGACAACCATTAGTTAGATATAATATACAATAGTGAAGAACTGGTAATAACCTAAATATCCAAAATAGGAGAATAAACTAGAACATTTTAATTTGATGGAATATAGTGCAACAATTTAAAATGTAAAGGCTATATTTAAATATAAGGCTATGTAGACACATTTTTAAAATGTATAAAAAGAATGGTAAATGAAAAGTGTACACAATATATATGCTGGAGGACAAATATAAGAGACAGGTCAAAGAGAACTGTAAACCGTTGTTAC